AATCTTAACAATTTAATACAAATAACTTAAAACTATTGAGTGGACGAAACACCTTTTCTATATAAAAAATTTGAAAGCATTGACAATTTTACATTGTATTGCCAACATAATGTCACTTTGACTTTTATCTTTAAAAAAAAAACAGATTTTATAATGTTCGATTTGTATTGTCTACTTTTGTTCTGCAACAATACAATCTGGCTACACTGCAGCCACGAGTTGCGCGCGCATGCCATCTTTTATTATTTTCTAACTTGTATTACAATTAAGCTCTCTTTTTCTATCTCTACGAGACACGTCAATTACGAGTGGGTAAGACCACGCGGAATGAAATCACGAAATGTCAGTTTTATTTATTTTTGTCATAAAAATAACTGATTACGCAGAAATCGAGCTAAGTAGAAAATAATAGATTTCGAGATTCTATGAGTACAGAAACGCGTTCAATTGTATGTCTGAGTGCCTTTTTATGAAAAACTCTCTATAAACTAAAGGATTAACACGGGACTTGGCTACAGTCGACATTACGGACAGTAATTTTGTAATTTTCTCCGTAAAGATTCAGTTTCCAAAGATCTTTTCTTTGAGATTTGGCAAGCGGAGCGAGCAATCGAAGACTCAAAAATAATTTAAATTTCATAAGGTGTTAATTAAAAAAACATGTTAAAATGTTATCTTTCTTAAGGTACGGTTTGTTAGGAGAGTACGCGTCGCACAACTGACAACGTAAACGTCGTCATTGGTTCAGGTATGACGTACACCCGTCTTCTGACGTGAGTAAACGGGTGTACGTCATACCTATGGTCATACCTGACCAATGACGACATGACGACGTTTACGTTGTCAGTTGTGCGACGTGTACTCTCCTAACAAACCGTACCTTAATAACAAAAAAATAAAATTAAAAAATTCCACTGCCGTAAATCGTCCAGACCCCGGGACGCGTAATTCCGAACCCCCGTTGATTTCAGAGCAACATTGTTCTGAAATGAACTTGGGTTTGTTATTCAATAATGCCATTCATTGTCTTCCAAACCTCAGCGCGGTGCAGACAAGATGCATTCGGTATTGGGTGGGGGTTTGCAAGACGTAACGCTCTGTTTTTTTTTCTACACCTTTGCAAATGCCAATTCAGTACAAAGTATGTAAACGTTGGATAAACGATTGTTTTCCCTTGGAATAAAAGGTCTTGCACTTAGCTAATTTGCGGTTGGTTTATGTTCTATGAGTTGTTGTTTTTGAGGGTGTTTAGTGGTTACCGAGGTGGTAACCGTTTTGTTGTGCCTACCCTACACAACAAAATGAGGGAAGAAGAAGTAGTTAAGTTACTAAATACTTTATGATATGAATATAAACTGCTATAAACAAAAACTGGAAATGATAGAATGATTTGAATCTGTTGACTGTTGTGCAGAAAAACTTTTGTGTCATGAGACTTATCAGGGCCGGATTAAGGGGGGGGCTTTGGGGGCTAAAGCCCCGGGCCCCGAAATGAGGGGGGCCCCAAAACACCACCTCACACGGGAAAGAAATCGCATGCGTATAATTTACAATTTCGATTTCGCCATCTATTATCTATCAATTATATCAAGCACAACACTACCCTATAATATTATTATTGAGTAGCTGGTATAATTATTGATAGATGGCGCACTATCCGCATAAAAGCTACAGTGACTTTATACACGACAGCGGCGACAATAGGAACCTTGATAGGGCCCACCCGCCATGTTTTGTCAAAACAAAATTGCATAAAACTCCATAGGATTAAAATAGGCCGGCATACACACACGTTATTTCGCGCGGTTTATCGTGGTGTGTTGGGATGTAGCGGTTTGCACGCGCGTAAGAACGGCGTGGCAAAAAAAGCGTCATATTCCATACACTTGACAAAGTATTCAAATGATTTAGCACGTGATTACGCGTGGCATATCAGTTGGAAAGGAAAAACCGTATGTGTATGGGTAAAAAGTGTTATTTATGGTGTCGTTTGGAAGTGCATGTTGTCATGTACTAATTTTCAACGTGATGGTTTGCTACGCGGCGTTTATGTCTCCGTGCTACTAGCCTCAAAACTGTGACGTGAAATGGCGGTTGTGAACTGCACTTGCACTATTATGTACTTGAGTACTGAGACGTCACATTCCAGATGAAAGCACGTCTGAAATCCCTTCCCATTCTATCATTAGGCCGGCATAGACACACGTTCTTTCGCGCGGTTTATCGTGTCAGCTGCAAAAACCTGTGAAAAATCATGTGCGTGAGTGAGGAGGGCTACACGCAATGATAGAATGGGAAGGGATTTCAGACGTGCTTTCATCTGGAATGTGGCGTCAGTACTTGAGTACATGATAAGTGCAGTTCACAACCGTGTCCACACGCCATTCCACGTCACGGTTTTGAGGCTAGTACGGAGACATAAACGTTGCGTAGCAAACTATCACGTTGAAAATTAGTACATGACAACATGCAGTTCCAAACGACACGATAAATGACACTTTTTACCCATACACATACGGTTTTTCCTTTCCAACTGATATGCCGCGCGTAATCACGTGCTAAATCATTTGAATACTTTGTCAAGTGTATGGAACATGACGCTTTTTTTGCCACGCCGTTCTTTCGCGCGTGCAAACCGCTACATCCCAACACGCCACGATAAACCGCGCGAAATAACGTGTGTGTATGCCGACCTATTGCGTGTAGCCCTCCTCACTCACGCACATGATTTTTCACAGGTTTTTGCATATGACACGATAAACCGCGCGAAAGAACGTGTGTCTATGCCGGCCTGATTAAAACAAATTGCTTTTGTCAAAACATGGCGGATGAACTACGTAATTCTGAGAACCAATCAAAAATGGGACAACCGACTGTCGCCACTGTCTTGTATAAAGTCACTGTAATAAATGCACCTGCAAGGTCAAGTTTTGTTTGAGTGACGTTTGAATTTATTTCAGGGACCTAGGGGCCCTTTTTGTGAAAATAGCTCCGGGCCCCAAAAGACCTTAATCCGACCCTGAGACTTATGATAACAAATGTGACGAACGAATTAAACATTTTTCACAATTAACAAGTAGAAATTGGATTACAAAGCTACGTGACATGAATAAACTACTTTAAGATGATTTAAAGTTCAAATAATATGGAAGAAAATTATAAAGGTTTGAAGAAATAGGGAATACCTTTGTACCTACTGCAATAACTTGCAATAGTTCACAATAATCACAATGGTTTGCAATAGGTACCTTGAAACATTCGGCAATAGATTGCAATAGTCTACAATACTTTCACAATACCCTGCAATATCTGAGTATTACACAATATATGTACAAAAAAACTACAGTGAAATAACCCTCGATTTATACGGAACGTTCTTTTGTATGATGTGTTGATTTTGATTTTTTAGTATTTTGTATCTTTTTCCTTTTTCTGAAGTAGATAATAATTATTTTACTTGTAGAATATTTCAGTATAAAATAAAATAATTTTTCATTTATATTACAATATATTGTTTTATTTTTATGGCATTTTATCAAACAGTAGATATTAGGTCTGTTTCCGCAGAAATCACAAACCAGTCAGAGCTAATTTCTTTAGTTGAAAACAGTCAGAAAACTAGTTTCAACCAATGAAATTAACTGAGACTGGTTTGTGATTTCTGCAAAAACAAATCTAATATTATGGACGGCGTCCGCACCGACGACGCCGTTCTGAATTACACTTGGTTTCGTAGTATCATGACCACAGTTAAGTGGTACAAAATACAGTCAGTCATAGACGCGTGTATTCTCTGTAATGCTCTGAATCACACGTGGATTTGGAGTAAGTACTTTTGCGTTTGCGTTGTACAAACCAGAGTTGAGTACAGAATATTTAACGTTATGTGACGCTCTGTACTGCACTGTGGTTCGGAATTACGCCCCCGGGACATAATTGAGTTGGTGTAGCCTTAGTACTATCCGATAAGGAATAGTCGAGGGAATAGAACTAGTGCTTTTTCAATTTCTATTGAAGCCAAGGCAAGCATGTTCACTTTTTAAAGAACTTCGTATATTCTTCTTTTTTCCACTATTTTACCACAAATCGTATTCGTAATCGCACGAAATAGGACCGCGTCATTTAAATTCGCATACCGACCGAGAATAGAGTTTAGGATTCGCGTTCGACATTCAGCTGCGTGATTTGTCGATTACGAGATTTTTAGTTGTAACTGGAGAATTGGGCCCCACGTAGGGAATATTGTTCACAGTGTTGCCACAGGTGGCCCCATATGGCCAGATCTGGCCCTTTCTAAGACGGAGTGGCCCGTTGGCCACTCTTTTTCGAATCTGGCCCGTTTCTCCATAACAAGCCTAATCATTATTTTTTCATGCAAAATAAACGTTTTTGGGCGTGGCACCCGAAAAAAATTTCTGCCTCCGGTGGCACTTGCGCCGGGCTTTCTCTCTTCTTTTTTCTTGAAAATTAGTTGGCCCGAAATTCTAAAGTCTGGCCCCATTTAAAAGTATAATCTGGCACGAAATTTTCAGAGCTTGTGGCAACACTGATTGTTCATTTTGCTAAAGTCTTGTCTGAAATACGAGACTGTTTCCATACACTTCAACAAAAAATCTGTGTTGCCATATTTCGAAAACCAAGTAAAATGGAGTTTCGGCATTTAGGTTTTAGTAATGTTGGGACGTTGATTCAATTACAATAAAATAAAGAGGGACATTTATTCAAAAAAATCAAGTAACATATAACATCTTAGAAACGGTAAACTTGGCAACATTGCAAATACCACCAATGAATCGGGCATTCCCAAAAACCTCCAGGTAGGAAATATCGTAATTTTTTTTCAATCCGGTTCTGAAATATCAGACCGTTTTCATACATAACGACAACCCTGTATATATTATAAACTCATATTAGAGCAACAGCCCAATGGTTTCAAACATGTTTCAAATTGTCACAGACCTCAATGTCAGAAATTAAAACTCAAAAAAAAATAGTGTCATTTCATTTCATAAAAAAATCATTCATTTTCATCAGATTCAAACCATTTGTAACTTAATTAGAACTCCGATCTCACAAAATTAATAAGATGTGTTTCGCCAAATTTTAAAAGAAAACTTAGAAAAAACAAACTCAACTCATGTAAGTCTACTTATGGTACTATTATAGTACAAATTTCATAATTTTTTCTATATCTACTTAGTTTATGCTCCATTAATAAAAAATAATCCATATGGATAATGAAAATATTGCATGTACGGCTATGGATACCTGTGGCAATGGAGTGGAAACCAGAAACAAAACAAATCAAAAGGAGCATTGCGACCTAACGACATGCGGAAAATTGGTATCTCCAAAACTACACGGCTCGAAATGGTGTCCTATAAGCGATCCCACTCCAAGTACCTGTGCATTTCTACTGAAAGTCAAAAACTGTTGTAACACGAGAAGTTGCCAGTTGGCAGCTAAAATTTGCGACCTCTACGCACCTCTTTACGAAATCGAAGAACCGTTTTCTAGAGGGGACCCAAAGTAACATTTTCATTAGTTCATTACTACTAAATTAAAATGTCGTTGCACTCAATAGATACCATTATCTGTTAAGAGATGCAGACATACAAGCTACGCCATCAGAAGCAGCTCTAGAAGTAGAACCCATTATAGAAGAAAAACCTCCTCAACCGATCATAACCAATGAAGAACCCCCATCGGAACCAATCATGAAAGAAGAAGAAGAAATAGTTGAAGAACTTGTTAAAGTTGTAGAGGCTGATGTAGAACCGCCACCGTTGCAGAAAATATCAGAAGAGCATCTGCCAGGCCTCTCAGCATCAGTTGTTGAAAATGTGGTAATATATTATACTTCATCCACAATACGTTTTTTTGTTATGGTATTTTTTAGCAAGTACCATTAGATGAGGATTTCAATTTTGCACAATCCAGGAATACAAGAACCAGCGTAGTGAGCTGGGATGTGAGAGCAAGTAAAGCAATTAAACCAAATGATAGTCACGAACAAATTATAAAAGTAGGTAGATTATTTTGTTTTTATGTGACCATGGGTGCAACTAGAGGGGTACTTGGGGGTGCTAAGCACCCCTAAAGCAAAAATTAGCACTCCTATTCGGCATCCCACCATAGCACTACCTAACACTTATATAAGAAATTAGTGCAACCAAATTATTTTATGTATTTTTTTTGCACTTTTTGTACTTACTTTCGTCATCGATGACGTCATAATTTAGAAAAAAGTATTTGTCGTTGATTTATTCATAGAGCACGTTCGAAATTATTATTATTATTATGGAATAAAATTTTTCAACCGGGGCCAGTATTTCCTAAATGATATTTCTTATGCACTAGTTATATTACTACTGGAAAATTTTGAAATTTTCCTATAATGAGCTCCTCACTTTCCTCTTTTTCCTGAAAAATTTTCAAAATATTCCCTTTGCCAGTTTTCCAAAAAAAAAAATTAAAATGTGAAAAAGTAAATTTTCCTTAATTTTGCTTAAATAATTCAATTTTCCAGAATTTATCCTGAAGTGATTTTTCACTGAAAAATTTTGAAATTTTCCTATAATGAGCTCCCCACTTTCCTCTTTTTCCTGAAAAATTTTCAAAATATTCCCTTTGCCAGTTTTCCAAAAAAAAATTAAAATGTGAAAGAGTAAATTTTCCTTAATTTTGCTTAAATAATTCAATTTTCCAGAATTTATTCTGGAGTGATTTTTAAAGTAAATTTTTCTTAATTTTGCTTAAATAATTCAATTTTCCAGAATTTATCCTGAAGTGATTTTTCACTGGAAAATTTTGAAATTTTCCTATAATGAGCTTCCCACTTTCCTCTTTTTCCTGAAAAATTTTCGAAATATTTCCTTTGTCAGTTTTCTAAAAAAAAATTAAAATGTGAAAGAGTAAATTTTCCCTAATTTTGCTTAAATAATTCAATTTTCCAGAATTTATCCTGGAGTGATTTTTTACTGGAGAATTTTGAAATTTTCCTATAATGAGCTCTCGACTTTTATCTTTTTCTTGGAAAATTTTCAAAATTTTCCCTTTGCTAGTTTTCCAGAAAAAAATTAAAATGTAAGAGGGTGAAATAGGTCAATTTTCCAGAATTTTTCCTCGACTGATTTTTCATTGGAAAATTTTGAAAATTTGCTATAATAAAGTCCTCACTTTCCTTTTTTTTTCTGGAAAATTTTCACAATTCTGCTTTTGCCTGTTTTCCAGAAAAAAAACTAAAAAGTAAGAAAATGAATTTTGCTCAAAAAAGTCAATTTTTCAGAATTTTTCTTGGAATGATTTTCCACTGGAAAATTTTGAAATTTTCCTATAATAAGTTTCTCATTTTCGTCTTTCTCCTGGAAAAATTTCCCAATTTTCACTTTACCAATTTTTTAGAAAATAATTAAAATGTAAAAGAATGAATTTTGCTTAAAAAAGTCAGTTTTCCAGAAATTTTCCTGGATTTTGAATTTTTCCTGAATTTTGAAACTTTTTCAGGAAAAAGAGGAAAGTGAGGAGCTCATTATAGGAAAATTTCAAAATTTTCCAGTGAAAAATCACTTCAGGATAAATTCTGGAAAATTGAATTATTTAAGCAAAATTAAGGAAAATTTACTCTTTCACATTTTAATTTTCTTTTGGAAAACTGGCAAAGGAAAAATTCTGAAAATTTTCCAGTGAAAAATCACTCCAGGAGAAATTTATTTATATATTTTCGGATAACTGAATAAACTCTATTCTAAGTTAAAAAATGTATTACAAAAAAGTAATTCCGAAGGTGCTTTATGAATTAATCTATGACTTAACTTTTTCCCTAAGTTATGACGTCATCGATGACGTAGGTAAAAACCTTCGTGCTATGCAACGAACTATATATTTGTTTGAAATTTCAGACATAAAAAAACTATTTTTTTTTAGAAAAAGGCAAATGATGACGTAAGTACAAACTTTCGTGAAACTAACTTTTTTTTACGCGTCTCATTTCCTTTCCATCAAACCCCATCAAAAAAAAAAAAATGGTGCTGCAGCATCCCTCAAATTTGGAGCCTAGTTGCGCTCAGTGTTGCCAGATCTTACGATTTTTCGTAAGATTACACGATTTTGGTCTCAATTTCACGATCTCACGAATGAGGTAGCAATTCTTACGAATTCTCTCTGTAGTAATACAAATCAGTAATCAAAACAATGTAATCGGAAATAATCGAGATGAAAATCTACTATACAATATCTAGTTATGTTACGCCGCTCCTGGTACACGCGCATGCGCGCCCAAGAACACTTAACCCAACAGCACAGCATACAAAAACATTCAGCAGGCTAACTCGAGCCTTGTATTTCAAAATGGCGGCGTGCGCAGATGCGAAGGGCATTAAATTTCATTGTTCTGCCATTTAAAGATAGGCTGCAACCTCGAATGGTGGCGTGCGCAGAAGAGATGCGCGTGAGAGTTTACTTGCTGTTTTAATAGGACTGCTTATTGAGCTGAAAGTGTTTACGAAGTCCAAGAGACCCCAATATTTGTGACGTCATCTGTAGACCTCAACTCTTAAAAGAAAATGCATTATCCGAGTCCAAAAAACGAATTATTAAAAAATGTTAAAATCGCCTTTTCTAAATTTAAATTGTTCAAGAAAATTAACTCACAAGCACAGCCTGAATCGCAAGCAATCCATCAAAGTCTGCGGGTGACATTACCACTATCAGCTGCTGATAGTAATGACGTCACTCGCAGACCAGCTGCCGACTCGAGAATTGGCGAACGCATGCCTTATTAGGATACGCAATCCTACGGATAATGAGAACGAGGTTCAGCTCTTCAGAATACCTGTAGGTCCCTATTCTTGGGAAGCAACGTTCGCAGGAGAACGAGTGTTCCGTCTTTGTTACTTATATTATCAGTTGCATATCGTTGACAAAGACAAAACACTCGTTCTCCTGGGAATGTTGCTCCCCTGTCATTTCATCTGGCAGCACTGGTTGCGCTTATGTATATGAGAATTAAATAATTCTTTAGGCTATAAACCGTGCGAAAGAAGAAGCGAACCAGTTCCGGATGCGAGGAGCCGATCACGCCGTGGCTTTCCGTAAAAATTTATTCGCCCAACCCAAAGAATCCAAGGAACAGATTCCCTCCGAAGAAGTGTCCGAGGAATTTACAAGCTCACAATTGGAATCTGTTTGTGTCCACGATAGCAGTCACAATCCAAAGTGGTAAGTATATACAGAGGGTCGTTGGTAAAATGTTTGAAACTTTTCTCCCACGCAGTTGTGCCGGTTTTAGGAGAAAATCTAGGAAAAAGAAAAAGCACGATCAGGAATTTTGTCGTGAGCGTGACGACGGTAGTGTAATTTGGCCAGCTTCCGAAGATCCGGAAAAGAGAAAATCTAAATTGAGCAATACGCCCGTTCACGAAAAAAAGCAGAGGATTAATAAAATGCTTAGTAAAATGTAAATATGGATTTGGTTGGATTTAGTAAATAAAAGGAGAAATAATTTTACTTGTGTTTAAATTGTTATTATTTTTGGAAATTTAGGTTTAGAGGTATAGAGGGTGTTCCATTAAAAAAAAATTAAATCTGATGTGTCACACTTTTTTAACACTTCTTGTAGGTAGGTATATGCGCAAATCAAATTAATGTTTTTTCACAACTTTTGTGTAAAACTTTTTGTCATAAAATATCTAGATTTTCATATACCAAGATAGGACAAACGGCCCATCCTGTACATGATATTTAGGTACATACAGGATGACACAAGGAATAGGGAACAACTTATAGTTTTTTTGAAATGTATAAGTTCATAAGTTGACAATTTGAGTAGCCTAACAGAGGCGATTTTTTGAGTTTTTCAGAAGTAAATTGCGATATGAGTCACTTCCGGTTTAACCGGAAGTGGCCATAACTTTTTGATTTTCAAATGGAACACCCGATATCTCTCTTTATGGAGTCTAGAGATGTGCCGAGATATTGTAATTTTTCCGCGAAAACGAAGCGTAATAATTGAAAAATTTAAGAGACAAAAATGTTGTATTTTTAGTGTGTCTATCTGGTAATCAATAAAAATCGTTCAAAAACTATAGAGTGATATTTTTTCCTGCACAAAAACAACCGACTGGGTCGCTGGGGTACTGGGGTCGAGGATACGTTAAATAATATTTAATTACAAAAAGGATATACCTAAGGTTGTTTGAGAGAGGTAGGTTGCTTGATAACTTTTATGACGTCGTCTGAGGTGCTTCAACATAATGCAAATCTCCATAAGGCACCCCAGATGCATCATCAAGTTACCTACCCATTACCAAACAACCTTAGGAACTTTTGGAACCTTGAGATAAACCTACCTACCTTATATTGAAGAAAACTTAATTTCTGAATAACAGTTTACGTGAGTAATGTCAGCTCTATTTGCTGACCATTCATATAAACTGCTTAATTCGCTTTTCTTTATTATAAATATCGCTGCCCGCCTAGAATAGTTAGTCAGTTGAATTGTAATTATATTTCTTATTTGAAACTTTGTAAAAACTTGTTATCGGCCTACGTATTGATAACTGGCGCAGTCGTCCGGATTTTTTGTTTTTGGAACTGGTTTACGAACTTTTCGGAAATCGGACTAACCGGGAACTCGAATCTACACCCTTGTGTGAAAATCGTGTTAAGTGTTTGCGAGAAGTGTCGGAGTGGCTTTACGAAATCGAAAACCAAAGAACTGCCTTCAAGCAATCGGATTATTGGACCAAAATAGCCAATATTCGCGAGACCAGGATTAATTTGGAAGGATAAATATAGCCTACCAGAAATTCTTGGCCTTATAAATGTTGCTCTACGGAATAATCTTCATGTAAGTGCAATGTGCAATTTGTAATTTCTTTAATGTCTGTGTTTTGACTTGTTTTTCGATAACACACCAGTGGACTGTATATTTTGTTTCCCTTTTTTGTTGGTTATCAAATCCAAAATAATTAAACTCCAAAAATAAACTTTATTCTTACAATATTAAGGAAATGAAACAATTACACAAATTTTGACGAACTCGAGAAAATCAAAGGAAATAAAAATGCATTAGAAACGAAGCGCTGTTCTTCTTTCGACGTTCGTCTAGCTTCTGCCCTTTGCCCTTTGAAGCTAGACCTACTTTCTTGGTAGAGGTGGTGCCAAGCACCAGCTACCGCGCCCTCTTGGCGCCGATACTCGCCATCTCTCTCTTCTCTATTCTGCGTCTTAGCACAGAGTCGTAGTAGGGGAATGTCGGGTAAAGAGAGTGAATTCTCAACATGCCCCCCGCCTTGAAGCATCATAGGCTGTCTTCAATACTAGATTTATCGTCGATGGGAAGCGGACAGATCTTGGAAAACGAACGCCTCACCACACCGCTTGCAGTTTTAATTTCTGCTACTCGATTCACCATGTCCTTGCCGGGATATATATTGATAATTCTCCCCAAACGCCATCTCAAGGGAGGAGTATTATCTTCTTTGATGAGAATTAAGCTGCCCAGCTGAACTTCAGACTGAGTCTGCTTCCACTTCACTCTCTGTTGCAGCTCTGTCACATATTCTTTATTCCAGCGGCGCCAAAAATGTTGTTTAATTTGCTGGATGCGCTGGAATACTTTAAGTCAGGTATGTGCTGTACATCTGGATCAGGCAAATCCACCAGGGTTTTCCCAATTAAAAAGTGGGCGGGAGTGAGAGGATTGTAATCTTCAGGATCGGATGAGATTGGGGTAAGGGGGCGGGAATTCAAAATAGATTCAATTTGTGCCACCAGAGTACTGAAGTCCTCATAAATTAAGTGCGCATTACCCATTACCCTTTTCAAGTGAAATTTTGCGGACTTCACGCCCGCTTCCCACAACCCTCCAAAATGAGGCGATTGAGCGGGTATGAAGTGCCACTCAACCCCTATATTACGGCTATACACTTCTAATAAGTTTTCGTGATTATTTCGCAAATACATACCCAATTCTTTGAGCTCACGATTAGCTCCTATAAAATTCAAACCGTTATCCGAATATATGTGACTGGGCTTACCTCTACGAGCAACGAATCTCCGAAATGCTGATAAAAAGGCATCAGAAGTTAGATCAGTTACAACCTCCAAATGTAATGCCTTTGTCGCAAAACAAACGAAAAGACTCACGTAACATTTATATAGCTTCGCACCGCGCCCTTTTTTATCCTTTATTAGAATCGGACCCATATAATCGACACCGACTATATTAAACACATGACCCGACACCAAGCGATTAGCGGGTAAATCACCCATTATATTACGCCTCGTCTCGTAATTAAGAATAATGTAGTACCTTCCACTTCACGTCAAATCACACGCTTTTTAAAGATATCGATTTTTAAAATCCCTGCTTACCTGTCCCGGTGCTTGACCAGTCACCAGTGACAATTTCATTTCATTCTTTCACAGCGTGTCAAACTATTCGCATCGTTCAAACGATTCGCGTTAAATTTTATAGCTTTTTTACGTGTATGGTGAATGTTTAAGCATTAAAATGCCTAAAGATGTTGGTAAGCGTAAGAGGACGTGCAGGGAGGAAGAGGAGGACCGTGCTGAAGGTAAGAAGACTGATAAATTAATTCCTTCACAGAAACTTTTGACAGATTTGGAGAATGGAGGAAAGGTTGTCAAGCGATTGTGTCGGCAAGGCGAGGAAGCTAGTTCTTCTAAGCAGGGGCACGAGGATGTTGCCAAACCTGTTCCTGTTAGACACAGGCACGAAGATGTTGCCAAACCTGTTAGGCAAAGGCACGAAGATGTTGCCAAGCCTGTTCCTGTTAGACAGAGGCACGAAGATGTTGCCAAAACTGTTAAGCAAAGGCACGAAGATGTTGCCAAAACTGTTCTTGTCAGACAAAGGCACGAGGATGTTGCCGCCAAGTCTCAAAAACATTTTGAGTTTGATAGTCTCAGCCGTCACCACGACGTTTTGCGTGAACCTTCCATCCGTAAGGTTTCTTCAAATGAAGGGTCCGAAGATGAGACCTCTTTGGCGTCGTTGGCAAAAATTTTGCGACGTGATCGAGAACATCTAGAGGGAGATTATGTCGCTCCCTCTGTGAGCTCGAATTATAGGCGCGAAGACGACGCCAATACCTCTAAAATTCTAGAGGAAGATGTACTCAGTGGCGAGGCATCATTTATCCTTACAGACCATAGTTCTGAATCTGACAGTGACGTCAGTCTAGATCAGGAGGTAATATCTCTTCTTGGAAAGAATGTTATTCAGTCCTCTAAATTCGGTCCTCCAATTCAAAAAGACCTTTCAGAGATATGGTCGGGAATTTTAAATAACGGACTCGATAGCGAAGAAAGGCAAGAGTTAATGAGGAAATTTCCTCATCCGGAGAACTGCATCTCTTTAGCTCCTCCTAAACTGAATCCTTTGGTGATCAGTGCCTGTTCTGAGTCGGTGGTAAAAAGAGACAAGAGGTTGGCTGATATTCAGGCGCAATTGAGCGCAGCCATATCGTCTATCGGCTCGGCAGTTACTACCCTTTTAAAAAAGAAGGGGGACCGAGATGTTATTCAGCAACTGGGTGAATCTGGTCGGATGTTAACCGACTTATTTCATCAAGATACGCATTCGAGGAGGGAGCTGGTAGCCCTAAACCTCAATAAAAGTCTCAAGGAGACTTTGTTCAATACGCCAAACGATGAATGGCTATTCGGGAAGGACCTAGAAGATAGGGTGAAATCTCACAAAAACCTCGCTCAATCTAGTAAAGATTTAAAGGATGAAAAAGTGTCATCCAACAGAGCATCTTCTAGCTCCTATCCTAAGCGTTCTTTAAACTTCAAAAGTTCGTCTCGAAAATTCCAAGGGTTGCGACGCGGCGAACGCCAACAATATCATCAACAGCAACCTCGACGAGATCACAAGACGCGGGACAAATGGTTTCGCAAGTCAGAGAGACAGGGACAGAGGAGCAGCAAATACCGACAGTGAAGTCGAAGGTTAGTAAACTCGCTGGCAGGCTGAGGCATTTTTATCCAGCCTGGTCGCATTTGACTAAAGACAAACATGTTTTATCTTGGATTCGAGGTATCAAAATTCCCTTCGCTCAACCTCCATTGCAGGTTAGTGCTCCACGTGGACCTAAATGGTCTTTACGTGAACAAGAGCAGATCCGAGAGTCAATTAATGAACTTTTACAGAAGGGCGCCATAAATAAAGTCGAACCTTGTAAAGGACAATTCGTTTCTAAAATATTTCTTACTCCTAAGCCAGACGGTTCGCAAAGATTCATATTAAATCTCAAATATCTCAATAATTATATAAATACTGGCCATTTCAAATTAGAAGACCATAAGACTGTTATCAAGTTGATATACAAAAATTGTTTTATGGCGACATTAGATCTCAAGGATGCTTATTTTCTGTTGTCTGTTAATAAGACGCATAGGAAATATTTACGTTTTCAGTTTAACAATTCACTGTATGAATTTACCTGTATGCCCTTCG